GGTTTTGGTTTTTCGGGGTGGGCCCCCCAAATTTTTCGGGGGGGCCCTTTTCCCCCCCCCCCCCCTAGCGCAACCTGTAATCTCCGTCCCCCGCCCCCCCCCCGCTCCCGTACCCCCCCCAACCGCACTCACACTAACCAACAAACAAAACCATGGCCTTCATCACCGCCCACCCCGCGCTCGCCCTGTCGCGACCGACGCCGCGCGCTCTGTGCGCACGCCGCCCCGCCCTGCCCTCTGTGCGCCGCGCGCCGCGCATGGGCTTGGGCGAGGACGGGCTCAAGGAGGACCTGACCTTTGCCAAGGGCTGCATCGACGAGGGCTGTTCTGTCGACGCGGTGCAGGGCGTGCTCACCCGCTTGGAGCGCCGCCGCGCCGTGTTGGCGCTGGAGGTCAGTCAGATTGAGGAGGTCATGGGCGTGCTCGCCCGCGAAAACTTGGGAGGGGATCGCAACTTGGTTGCCGCCGCCATGGAGGCCGCTGTGTCCATATTCGCCAGGGCCGATGATGATTACCCAGGGGTGGGTAACACCACAAACGCCTGGTCTCTCGACCCCATCAAGAAGCAGCCCAAGTTTTAGGTGGCAAGTGTGTTTAATGCGTGTCTGCTGCATATATCGGGGTGTTCCTGTGCGTGTGGTCCGTTGGTGACATTGGGTGCGCGCGCGTCGTCTAGACGAGGGAGGATCCGAGTGTGTTGTTCCGCATAGTGTGATTTTGCCGGATTACGCCTCGCGCCGTGTCAGTCACCGCTCGGAAGTCTTCATTAATAAACTTTCCCCAGTATCCGCACTTCCACCAGTCTTTTGCTCGAAACCCAGGGCTGTCCAGCCCGTGCAGAATGCGAGCAACCTGCCTTCCAGTCTGCACGGCGGACGCTCCGTAGCTCGTTTCTCGAAACAGCGCCCGACACGCTTGCCGGATCCGCTCCTCGCCTTCAGTGTCAAGTGCTGCGGGTGCTGGAGTGGCAACGGTTACCTTTCCGTCCTTTGGTACCTTTGCGGAGAAGTACTTCGCAAGAGCCTCGTGAAGGAACTCTGATTGTTCCATATCTGACATCATTTTGTCAGCCTTTCCAAACATGTCTGCCACCGCCCTCGCCTTCATCTCACAGACATCTTCTATTCGTTGAAGATGGCCGTGTGCTAACCCCGCCCATTTGTCCACCCCGTTTTGCAGAGCCTCCGATCCTTCTGGTGAGCACTGCACGACCATTCCGGGCTCGAGCCACTCAAAAGTAATGTGCCGTCCCCTCTGGAGCCGGCGCAGAGAACCTCCTATATCATCTTCTAGAAAACGAGCCTGCCTGAGTGACAGGTCGTAGTGCCCAGACGAATGCTTGGCTTCCTTCAAGAGCAACCGAATCAAAGCTTTGTCTGCGGGGCATAAAGAGCCTGCACTGCCCTTGAGCAAGTTGTCTGGAGTGTGAGAGAAAAACTTGACTCGCATTTTCAAATGCAAGCTCTTAAGTAATCTGAAACCCTCAATCTCTCTTTCGAGAATCGCGCATATTGTCTCGGCAGTCTCTAGCTTCAAGTCAAGAGTTTTCCCAATATCTGTTTCACTCATGCTCATAATCACATCAGCAGTCTGTGCAGGAGAATTCCTCGAATCGAAGCTGTCATCTTCACATCGAACTACGTCTGAGTCACATTCTGAGGCAGACAAGTCCTTCATATTCCGCCTTCGGAACGAGCTTTCAACGAGGCTTCGCAAAAATCTTCTAACGACACTCGCATCGACCCCGTCGCTGTGGCTGCGCGAAAGGAGCTTTCGAGCATCTTGCTCATTGTAGAAAACATGGCAAAAACCATCTCGTCCGTCTCGACCGGCCCGACCCACCTCTTGCGAATACCTCTCTAGCGAGGATGGCATATCGAAGTGAACTACCCCTCGAACATTCGAGTAGTCCAACCCCATGCCGAACGCAACAGTCGCGACAAGAATAGCAATGGAACCAGTTTCAAATTGTGCCTGCGTTTTGTTTCTAACGGCAGCTGCTAAGCCGGCATGATACATGGCGACTTTGCCTCGGAGGTTTAGACCAGAACTCTTGAGGTAGTTGACGACTGCTTCACAGTCGCGTTGCTTTGCAACATACACGATGATGCTCCCGCTCTCTTTGGATCTTCGACGCTTTGGTAAGCCCACTCGCTTTGATAGATTTAGATTTGATCCCCATCCTATCATCTCATCGCCTCCCTGACGCGCTCTTTTGTCTGACTTCCGAGCACGCTGCTTTGTTTCAGCTTCATCGAGAGCATCCTCTTGCGTCGAGGAGGGAGAAATTCGAGACTTGGCGTTGTCTGGTTCAATCAGATCGAGAATTCTTCCGAAAGGCTCCTGTTTGAAGAGTCGTACAAGCTCGGAAGCCTTGGTATCTAGCCGACCCGGAACGTGAGAAAGCGTCAACGAAAGGTTGTCTCTCTTTACCGAAGAGCGCACGACGCCCTCGTGAACGTCGATATGCAAGCTTGCGCACACGTCTGCAACAGTCGCCTCCGCCGCCGTAGCTGTGAGCGCCAGGACGAGTGGCGCTTCCGGGAACAACAAGACATCTGCCCCCCCCCCACGTCGGGCCGCCCCCGGCGCAAACAAAGCGCTAGGAAGCCTAAGATAAGCCGTGCGAAAGTTATGGCTCCACTGCGACAAGCAGTGCGCCTCATCGACAGCGACGAGCGAGACGGCCGGTGCGACCTCGTTGAGCAGCCTGCGAAACCTCGCCGAGAACAGGCGCTCCGGCGACACAAACAGGACCTTGATCTCGCCCTTGCGCACGCGGTGCTCGACGTCTCGGATGG